CCTGGTCATAATCTACACGTGGTGCTGCGACGCCTTCAACCGTCAGGACCGCTTGACCTCAACCTCGGGAGGAGAAGGAGGGGAAGAGGAGGAGGGAGGTGGAGGAGGATGAGAAGGAGGAGGAGGAGGAGGAGGAGGAAGAGGGAGGTGGAGTTGGAGGAGGAGGAAGAGCGCACAACACACTCTACAATTCGAGACAACCGAATTGCCTGCCGCCGAAGGACAAAGCAGACCACCAGAGGATCGACCCCCGCACAATGCCAGTGCCCCCTCGAGACCCTGGAGGAGATGCGCCCTGCGAAGGTGCAGTGCCGCGAGTGGCAGGCTAGTGAGGATGCTCGTGCTGGTCTCCCCGCTGCAGCGGCTCCAGCAGCGGCAGGCCCGGGCTAGGCCAGAATGCGCCTGCTGGTGTCTGCTATCATTTTACATATTCGATGTTTTGATGGCGTGTCCACAATCGAAGTGGATGATCGCCAATCGATTCGTCGATTCCGACGTTCCGACGAAGTCGAGTGCCGGGCTACTGGGAACTCGAATTCAGACCCTTCTCTTGAAATATTCATGCGACCGAGTTGCACATCGAACGATCTGCATCGAGAGAATGAGAGAGAGAGAGAGAGAGAGAAAGAGAGGGACAGAGTCGAGTCGACATCGATGCGCTCAGAGCTAGTGCTTGATCTTTGAATGGGCACGGGGCAACCGATTTTGCAGTCGCCCAGCCCAATCGCTTCCTGGAGTCACTCTTGGTAAGCTACTGCGTGTTGCAACGAATATTTCCTCCTCGACCTCAACCTCCTCCTTTCCTCCTCGACCTCAGCCCCCTCCTCCTCGACCTCAACCTTCCCTGCTGATCCTGCTCCTGCTCCTGCTCCTGCTCTCCTCCTCCTTTTCTGGTATCCCCCCTGCCTCATCCTCTCCCTCGTTAGCAAGCCCCCCATCCCCTGGCAATGCGGGGGCAAAGCTGCGTCAGAGATATCTCATTGAACTGGCGAGCTCTGGCGAGATCCGTCTCTCAGTCCCATAGTAAGATCATGACAATAAGACGTTTGGGGGTCAACGGCAGGACACTGTAGGAGAAACAGGATGAGGCAGAGAAGCGGTTCAAGGAATCGGCCCGAGGACGAAGCAGAGAGGGTGGGGGGGGGGGGAGGGCGGTGCCGGAAGGGGGAAGGGAGGGCGGCGCCGAAAGAGGGCAAGAAACAACACATTGATGCTAGACGATCGATTCCGACATTTTGGAAATATTCTCATGGTTTCAATGAATTTCAGGACAGGTTTGCCAAAAACAGCTCAGACAGATAGGTTGTGTTGTGTTTTGTTCGTTGAATGATTATTTTCAGTCATCTGGCGATTTTGATGTTGTTTGCTATGATTTTTGATTTGTTCACCACCATTTCAAGCAACAACTAAAATAAAATAACTCCAGTTTTTGATGAAATTTTCAAGCATGCTGACATATCAGTTTTGAGGTTTGAACTCGCTTGAACAGGTTCAAATCCTGAGCGTGCGCAAATCGCGTTTGAACACGCCCCAGAGGCATTTGAACACGCTAAAACGGCATTTGAACCCGCCCCAGGGCGTTTGAACACGCAGCGGTTTTTGAACCCGCTCGGGCGAGTTCAATTGAATTTCGTCGGTGGCAGCAACAGCCTCCAGATATCGTTTTCATATGTTTTTGAATCGAAATTAAGATGTCATGAAAAGCTACGGTTTCAAATGTTTGTTTGCTTTCTCATTTGATTTTGCTGAACTTCGATGTATCTTGGTCGTTTGGTGCGTTCTGCAGCGTTTGAGAGAGCCCAGTGGGATGTTCTGCGTCTTGGCACCAAAAATGTCGAAATCAACACATTATGTTGTCTTTAGCGCCGTTTGAAGAATCCCGCTGGTTTCTTCTCTTCACAGTGTCACAGCGGCTATGCCGTAGCCTACGGCCCGAACCAGAGGATCTTCGCCCCTTAGGTTTCCCTTGGGCCCAGCGCGCATGGCGTGCCAAATCGATCCTCGTGAAGTCCAGGGCGCGTTGGCGTGGCCAACGCGGTCGTTGCGGGACCTTCGCAATTTGCGTGGAGGTCAGGGCCTCTATGACAGGATGCGTGAGCGCCTATCAGGTGGCATCGAGATCAGTTCTGCCTTCACAGGAATTGATTGTTTCCGCATGGGCGCCGACTTGATCCAGAGAGAGGTGCGCCAGAGCAGTGGTCTGACAAGCACTGTCATCTACTCTGAGGCATTCGGTAGGCCCCCAAAGAGAGTCTCTCAACCCCAACATCCAACCACAACCTTGGAAATACAACCAATCACATGCACTAGCCCTCCTAAAACTTTGAGGTTTCCTGGGCCCGGGCAGGGCGGGGAAGGGCCTCCCCACGGGCATGCGAATCAGATGTGCGTTGTCGGCAAGTGTTGCAAGCCTGGCCAAGGTCAACAATGACTAGGGTACTTGGTGACATCCTGGATAAGCTCACAGAGCACGCCAAGACACAGATCGATCACATTTCACAGACCCATTACGAACAGTTCAAGGGCATGGTCAAGCTGGGCATCGCCAGGAAAGAGATTCGTCGCCGCCTCAGCCCAGAGATTTTTTCGAAGATGGCGGCAGTGCTTGACAATCCAAATGCCTACAACAGAGTGCCCGTGAGCGCATCGCAATCTGAAAACGTCCTGCGAATCCCGACCGCAGGCACGCCTTGCATCCACTGGTCCAAAGTGGGCGAGCGGTCGGGGCTTTGTGGCACCACCAACACGGCGTTCATGACGTGGCTGTTCGAGCGCGTGCACAAGCAGGAGGACATTGTCATCCACGAGTGCACTGCGCTATTCGAGGCGGATTGGCTGTTCAAGGCCATGGCCAAGACTCATCATTTTGATGTGATGGATATCAGCCCATGTGATTTCGGTTTCCCTTCCCGTCGAATTCGAAAGTGGACACTGATGGCCAAGAAGTCTCGCTTTGCTGGGTGGTCAAACAATATCAGACATGAGAGGTCACATGTTCAAAGTAGACCACGCATGACGATGATAACTCTGTCATTTTGGAGTTTCACAAGGGCGGGAGGGTCTTTCAACGGGTTGGTTTAACGAGAATGTGTTGTTAGATCAACTGTGTTGCAATACCTCTCCCAACACAGGTCTACATTGCGGCAGCTATTGCGCCGTGAACGCGCAGCGTTGCATGGCGGCTGCTTCTGTGTCGACAGCGAGGAGAATATAAGGAGTATGTTGATGGGGCAATGTAAGAAACGGCGGCGCAATTGGTACGGTAATGGTATCCCTGCTGAGGAATTATTGCCACCTGGATGTGAAATGCGATTGTCTGAATACTTGTCAATGGTTTATGATGGGCAGGACGACACACAGATGCAACATTATGTGCTTGACCTGTCACAGAATCCAGGCCCGCGCGCATCTTATGATACAGCGTGCCCACCAATGCTCCGCAAGTCAATGTTTTGGTCGACAGCGGCCAAGCGCCTCTTCACGCCAATGGAGATTATGCTTGCGCAGGGCATTGCCATCGACAGCGCACTCACTGACTATTCAATTAACAACGCGGTTGCATCCATCTCGTCGACATTTATCGCCGCTGAAGCCACGCGCGTTGCAGGCAACGGGATGAACCTCATGGTTGCTGGATTTGTACGCATGTTTGCCCTCGCCGTTCCCATCCCACACTCGGAGATGCGCCCGACGGTGCCTTTGCAGATGGATTACGAAACTGATGACTGCACTGACGACGATCTATGATCTTCGTTGAGCCTGCAGCAGATCGTGCAAGTGGAACTTCTGAGGCGTCGGATTCGCTTCCTGTTCGGTGTCAGTTCAGACTGGCCAGAGCCAAGACTACAGAGATGGTCGCTTGAAAGGTATGCTTGCGTTTTGTTCGTCTTCATTATCATCCATTACGCTTCGCGTTTCTGACTCGCAGAGGATGCGATAGTGCTTTGCGTTTTGCGTCTCGCCCCAGGGGCTACATGGATTACGATCTTCCAGTGGGTGCTCTACAGATTGCGGTTGTTCACTGCCCCTCCCCCGGACGGCGCAATTGAGAATCGCGCGTCTCTCGCGGGCGTTGGTTTGGAATTCGTTTCGAGGTGTTTGGGGGCAATTCGGTATGTCTGGGGTCCCTGCAACCCTTGTAAGCTCTTGGGTGTTGGCCGTGGCCCAGTAGGTTCCATGTAGCTGAACGCTCAATCACCCATTGGGCTGCTATTGGGCCATGGGCAGGGATTGGATGAACTTCGGAAGAAGATGGGGGCTATTTGGAAACTCGGTTGGAGGATTCCCGCGACTTTCCTTTCTCTGATCTACCTAAGGCGCTGTCTGCGAGGTAGAGGGTTGATGATAGCGTGGAGGAGGAGGGGCGAGGAGGGGGATGAGGAGGACGACTACTGTGACTACGACGTCGGCTACACCTGCTACTGTCACTAGTAGCATTACGGCTGTCGCCACGAATGATATCCTAACCACTACTGCTACTACCGTCACTCCCACTGCTACGACTACTGACGTTCCTACATATCACATCATAGTGCTGCTACGCCTAGTTAGTACCGCTGATACCACTGCTACCACTGCCTCTAGGTATGTTGCTACATCCACTACTAATCGCATAACTACTGGTACTGCTACTACTACGACTACTACTACTACTACTACTACTACTGCTACTGCTACTGCTACTGCTACTACTACTACTACTACGACTACTACTACGTCCACTTCTGCTACTGCCATAGCTGTGGCTAATAATACGCACACCTCAAGCACACTTACCACATCACTCCCCTAGTGGTATTACTGCTGCTACTACCATTATCACTCTGGTTACGTGTAATGCGTCCTGCCATGTTGTTTGGTTGCGCTACCACGTGCGCACCTAATTGCCCCGCGTACTCCAACAGCCACGAGGGGTCAAGGTGACGGTGCGGCCTGCCGCATTTGATTATTCAAGCTACCCCACCGTGGGCAACCAACCGACTGTACCAACGAGTGCCACCATGATGTTGGGCGACGCCGACTGCGTGTTCAGCCCCGCTGGCGGCGGCGTCGAGTCGTCTGACAACGAGGGCGCGGCGTCCAAGTCCGCTGGCAATGAGGATGACGACGAGGGTGCGCCGCCCATTCATCAGGCAGCAGCTTCGGCAATCATGTCGCGATGCTGCGTGTGCACGGGTATGGAAATCCAACCCACGGCGCATGAGTACAGCGGCAGATCGGACGCCCTTGCAGGAGCGTCTGATCTGGAGTCGCGTCTGTGCTCGTGCGTGCGTGAGGGAACTTCCGATAGCTTTTTCCATATCAAGTGCGACATTGCATGCGCGTGCTCGTCGTCGCCGCCCAAGGCAGGGAGAGGCGGCGGCAGAGGACGGGGTGGTGGCAGAGGCAAAAAGAACGCCGCCATTCCAGACGAGGCCAACAAGGGGGTCAAGCAGACGATCGATAAGGAGAAGAGACAGGATCGGGGGAAATACGACTCTGGGAAGCACTGCTTACACAAGTTCTTCGAGAAGCTGAATGGGGGAATCTAGCCAAAAGCTATGGGCCCATATAAATGCAATTACTGCAAGTCGAACGTTCAACGTGCCAGGCGCGTAGCGGCAGCCCAGGACTGTGAGGAGTGGTTCAATAGAAAGGAGAAGGATAACGACCAGGAGTGGACGGACATTATGACGGAGTTCATCACGCAGTGCCCTGCCAGCTCGGGGCGAGTCAAGCCAGGCCAGTTCGACATGACAAGCTACGTCGAGTCAAAGGTCGCATCCTCGGGTCTGGAGACGTGGGCAGAGGGCGATTTCATGACGCAGGAGGCTTTCTTCGGGTTTTGTGAGACAGCGGACGGCGGCAGCATCAAGGACCCTGCGAAGGAGATGGCGAAGTGGAACCAGCTCAAGAAGAACCCGAGGGTGAAGCCGAGGTTCGCGCCAAATGGTGAGATAAAGCTGCCCGTGATCACGAAGGACAAGTTCAAGTTGTACAATGACCAACGTGATGAGCATAGGATCACTCAGAGGAGGAATCTCCAGAAAAAACTTGGGAGAGGCAGACATGCAAGCTCTCGAGAAGGGACTCACCACGGGCCGCACTCGTTTGCAAGACATGGGGCCGTTGGCTGAAAACGTCTCTGGGTCGTTGGGGGGATCCTCATCTGCATTGTTTGCGCCGGGCGGGAAAGGCCAATTCGTCGATGCAAAGGAGGGAGACATGAACAACGTCCAATGGCTCGTTGATCAGAAAGGCCGCGACTCAAAAGAAAAGGAGGATCACAGGGAGAAGAAAGGGAAGAAGGAAAGGGCTCGGGCGCCGCAAGCAGCGGCCGCGGGGCTAAGCGGAAAGCAGATGATGGCGACGACGGGAAGAGGAAGTGCGTAATTGAAGAAGGAAAGAAGAAACACGAAGCCGATGGTGAACAAGGTGAGTCTGAAAGCAATAGCCCAGTAGTAACGGCAGCAGCGCCGAGGAAGCGGTTGAAGCTTAGTTCGAGTGCAGTTTCCTACTGGCAGAAGCAGGTTGACGAAGCGACCATGGAAGCCAATCGCCTGCAGAACGAGGTTAGCCTCATGAAGCAGACGCATGTCCCAGACAGCCGCCACTTCAAGACCTTCAACAAGCACTTCCAACTGGCAAATATCCGTCTCGAGCTGCACAAAGCAATGACTACCTCGCCAGAGAAGGTGCAGGCCATCAAGGATCGGTGGGGCAAGAGTAAGGAGACTCAGACCCCCAAAGCAAAGAAGGATGAAGGCCCCAAAGAAGCTTTCGATTTGCCCGACGGGTCGAGGATTGCCCCAGTGCGCCTCTCCGATCTCAACAAGTTCGATGTCCTTGTGGCTACGCAGCAGACTCCAACTGGGCCGAAGGATTCAGCATGGAATGCCGACGACTTCTGTTTCAGCGTCGTGGTCAAAGATATCCCGGGCAACGCTACTGGAAATGTGATCGTAGCGCCCGTGGCCGACACGGACTGCGTGGAGGACGTGAGCATCGATAGGCTTTTCAAGATCCCCAGGCGCGGCAACAACCTTTCAGCAGAGGAGGAGGAAGAGTCAGCGAAGACAGAACTACGAGAGAACTCGAAAGGCGGTGCCGCAGGGAAGACCGAGTGCAAGGGCGAAGCTGCGCCCGCAGAAGATATACCAGAAGATCAAGACGTGGGGACCAAGGACAAAGGCGGCATGGACGAGAAGAAAGATGAAGCTGCGAACACTGAAGGCGGCAGTGCTGCGGGCAAGAAGCCCGAGGACGTGGAGCCGATTCAGGCCGCCAAGGGTCAGGATGCGACGCCCGATCAAGACAAGCTCGACGGCGACGCAGGCGAGCAGAGCGGTGAGATGGACAAAGCAGGAGCAAAGAAAGGTCCTTCTGAAGTGCGTGTCAAAGTTGAAGTGTCAGAGCTCGAATCTTCTTCCCAAACACCTTCGAAGGAATTGGATTCAGAACCTCCTGTGTCGCTGCCCGCGCTCAGTGTACTGGACACATTATCTAATCTGTTGGCCGCAAATGAATCAGCCTACGACTTCTGCGTCGAGGAGGAAGACTTCAAGGAAGCAACGGCGCTCGTCAGCAAGCGCAAGGCTGCTCTCAAAGAGCTCATCGACAATATGAAGTGCCTGCGCAAAGACATGGTCACCAAGCACAAGACCGCGCGCACCAACGACGCTGCGCAGAAAGCAGGGCAGGGCAACAGTGTCAAAGGCAAAGACAAGGCCGACAGCGCCAGTGACAGCACCATTCGCATCATCGGCTACTCCTTCAATATCACAGAGCAGATGTTCACTCTTTCGTCAATGGATGCTTTCATCGCGGGGAAAGACACTGTGGATTGGAAGGTGCCTGGCAATATAAAACATTTCCCATGCAGTTCAGATCACATCTCATTCGTGGGCTGAGTGCCAACGCCGCCAAGTCACCCCATAGCTGTCACTGCTTGAGTCTGGTTTCTTGGGGTGGGTGGGCAAAGGTGATCCAAAAAGCGTGACGGTGAAAGAAAGGGATGAGCCCATCACCCGTCACCCCAGAATCCCCGGTTGCTCGACGTCTAACACATGTTGACGTGTGGTGCGTTGCAAGATGCTCAAAAATACACCCCCCGTCTCTGAGAACCCAAAGGTCCCAGGATCCAGCAACCTGATCGGGGTCCAACCCCAACAATTCTGCGCGCGAATGTTGAAACCTCGGCAGGTGCCGCTCTTGATCCATGCTGGGCGAGAGTTTGTCAATGCTTTGCGGGACGACTCGGTGCTCAAGAGTACTTTTGATTCATTCACTGCTGGCTTCGAGGGAACGGAGAGGGAGACCAGGCCGCCTGGTCGCGCGCAGTTGCACGCAGAGGAGGGGCTTGCCTTCGAGGAGAAGTTGAAGGACGCAGTCGAGCAGCTGGGCACGCCTCCGGACCTTCTGGACAAATTCGATGATGACAGTCTCAAGCTAGTGGACTCGCCTGGCCAAAAAAATGGATGACGACTCCGAGTGTTTACGGATTTGGCAGCAAAACATATTATGTTGGCTCGGAGTTCCTTTCTACGGGGTGCCTCCGCGTGCAGTTTGACGGTGCCCGCCGCGCGGCGATCGTGCCATATGACAAACTGCGCACCATGTTCATGGACTTCAAGAAGATCAAGGACGATTCAAATATTCAGTACGATGATGTCCTGAAGTGGTTCAAAGGCCAGCATCCCTCCCGTTTCTGCAGCACGGCAGCCAACGACTCGACCATCTACGGCATCGCGATGCCTGGTGACATCATCTGGACTCCACCAGCGTGCATTGTGACGGAATGCGCCCACCAGGAGATGCGGGGCTGGGGGTTGCGCATCCCGATGATGAACAAGGCAGGCATCGGGAACGCCTGTAAATCTCAATGTGGGGCACGGCGCTTGTAGCGCCACGGGCTTCACGTTGTCGGAACGTGGCAGTAGCATGGCAGATGTTTGTATATATGAACGTGCAAGTGTTATTTGTAGCTACTTTAATTCGCTTGTAAATGCATGCGTAGATGCGTAGACATGTGGGCAACCACACCACACAACCCAAGGATGGAAAGGGGGAGGGGGCGGAATAAAGGGAACAAAGGGCAATGAAAAAACAACGCATCAGAAGGACTCTGGACGACTAGGAGGCCGACGGGAAGATAAAGTGGGAGGGGGCGATGCGGAGGAACGAGCAGGAGAAGCAACAGTAGAGGGGGGATGGTGAGAAAGAGGAGTAAGGAGGAGGCATTGTGGTGGTCGTCGTGTTCGGTGCCCGAGGGGGCGCTCCCAGCGATCGACCTGATGATCAAGGATATGGAGGGGGACAGTCGGCGGTCGTGCGGCCACTTGAAGGCCATGAGCTCGGCCATGAAGGGGCCCGGACCCGTGGCTGCGGCGGCGCCTGCGTAGGTCGTTTGACGCTGCGCGCTGGCAGCGAATGGGGTTGGAGGAGGATGAGGAGGAGGAGGAAGAGGAGGAGGAGGAGGAGGATCAGGAGCGGGGGGGAGAGGGCGAAGGAGAGGAGGGCGAGGAGGAGAAGAAGGAGGAGGAGGAGGACGAGAAGGAGGAGGATGAGGATGGATGAGGTTCGTTTCTGTGGCTGCCTGCTCGATTGGATTGCCGCGCTGCGTGGCAGCACCCGTGCTTGGTTGCAAAACCGATCGACTTGTGCAAGCTGAGCTGCGCTGGGGCCGCGGCCGCTGGGGATAAACTAGAACCGCTGCTGCTGCTGCCGCCACACGCCGACGCCGAAGTCGATCCGAGTCGATCCTGAATGGGCTGGCGCCGTTTCCGCCAGCTTGCTCCTCCAGGCTCCCGCTCAAAACATCCTCACAATTTGAGCTATGGACGGTTCATCTCATCAGAACTCTCTGGGGCCACGTGGGCGGTCATCGGCTACGCACACGGTTTCAATGTTGGTCCTCGGCTTCCTGATTTTCGGCGAAACTCGCTTATCGCCGCGCAACATCTCGGTTTCGGTTGCTCGGCGTGTCGGTTGCGACTTCGCTGCTGATTTCGGCGTAACTTCCTTTCGGTTTCAGCCGTCGGCTCCGCAAGCCTCGGAATTTCGCTGCTCAGACCTTTTCCCTGATTTCGCAACCCATCTTAGGGGCACGTGAAACTTACTAGCTGACGTCATGAGCAAAAACATGCCCTGCCAAATCAAGGGTTTTACCCTTGTGTCCTATGTTTGGCGACCCATGCCTTCTACATTGCTAAGGCAACGTGGCCCTCGGAAGGGTCTTGCGCCCTCCTCTTCGCATGTCCTCTACAATCAAGTTCGACTGCACGCGGTCCCCCAAAGTCCCGACCCGGGCTGTCAGAAACCGATCGGTCTTTGCCGCTCCCGGGGCCCCAGCGAGCCCCCCCCCAGAGGCCGAGCATTGCCAGAAAATTGCCACAATTTGATGCCTAGGCGTGCCAGATCTCCAGCACGAGCTGTTTACCGCTTGCCAGTCTGCCCCGACCTCCGGCCACGAAGCGGCGGCCTGGGCGTCGTGTTGTGCAGAGTCTGTGCCGAACCGCCGGCGTGGAAGCAAACACACTGGCGGCATCCTCCGATTCGCATCTTCCCGTCGTGATTGTTTGCCATGGGCCGAGGGGGCCTGCGTGTGCTGGTCCCGAGGACTGGGTCGAGACACTCGAGACCTCTGGGGGGTCGACGTCGTGGAGAAAATCATGCCCTGCCGAAGCGGAGGTGCCCTCGTGTCTTGTGTTCGGCGGCGACGCTCCGACCCGTTCCCTGGGGCCGGTTTGTCATCCCGGGTCGGTTTGTGACGGTACACCAGGGCCCGGCGAGGGCCCCTTCGGAGGACGAAAATTACGCAGCACGTGCCGTCGCGTTTACCTCATGCTCCGAGGGGGCCTCTGTGGGCGCAGCCCGCTGCCAGGAGCCCCCGGGCGACCGCTGCGCCGCCCACTGCGCGGAGCGCCCGGGCGCGGCCAAGCGGCTGCTGGCCGCGCTGGCCGCCGGCGGCCCGTGCGGGTCCACGGGTTCCAGCGAGGCGGGGCCAGCGGAGATCGTGGGCGAAAAGCGCCCTGACGTCCGGGATCTGGACAAAAAAATCGCGACAGGAGTTTCTCATAGATGTCGGCCTGGCCCTTTCTGGGCCTGAGGTCCAAAAACGACATCGGAGAGGCGGTCGAGAGGTCGGGGGTCCGTTTCTCGAGACGCCGGATGTTTGGGAACACATCTGTGCCCACGGCCTCGCGGGCCGTGGCCGCAGGCCGCGACCCCGCGGATACGGGGCGGTTCGGTTGCGGATGCCCTTCGCGGAGCGTTTCCGGGCGACCGCGCATCCGTGGGAGCGGGCCTCGGAATCCAGACCGCGAACGGATGCGTGCGCCGCTCGTGAGGAGCCGCTGTCCCCGTGCGCCGCAAGCTCGGGCGGCTCGCCCTCGCCCATCGAGCAGTGTTCCGTCCTCGGCGGCGCCCCAGAGCGGCCAGCCGCTCCTGGGCCCCTGGCGATCCCTGCGGGGAGCGCGTGCATCGCGCCGCCGCCAGGCTCGTCGCCTGCGCCCGCGCCGCCCTCCACAGCCTTGGGAGGCGGCCTGGTCGCCGCCATTGCCGCCGCCGCCCTCGCCGCCGCCGCCGCCGCTGCCGCCGCCGCCGCCGCCGTCGTCGTCGTCGTCGTCATCGTCGTCGTGGTGGTCGTCGTCGTCTTCGTCATCGGCATCGTCATCGGAATCGGCGTCGCAGCCGCCGACGCCGTCGTCGGCGCCGACGAAACAACCTCAGCGCCGTCAGCGCCCTGGGAGGCCGCCGCGGCGGCGCCGCCCCCGCCCTGGGTCCCGCCGGCCGCGCGGGTGACGCGGAGCGCCACGCGCCAGCCTGCGAGGTGGAGGCGCGGTTGCTGACCTTGGAGAGGGCCCTCGAGGAGCAGCGCAGCGCCCTCGCCGCCGAGCTCTCCTCTCGCCCCGCGGCGGCCTGCGAGGCGCGGCTGCTGACCTTGGAGAGGGCCCTCGAGGAGCAGCGCAGCGCCCTCGCCGCCGAGCTTTCCTCTCGCCCCGCGGCGGCCTGCGAGGCGCGGCTGCTGACCTTGGAGAGGGCCCTCGAGGACCGACTCGCCGCCGAGCTCTCCTCCCTGCGCAGCGAGCTCGGCGGACGCCTGGCCGCCGCCGCGGAGGCTGGGGCCCGCCGCGAGCGCGAGGCCCAGTCCGCCTCGGCCGCCCTCGAGGCGCGCGTGGAGGCCCTGGCCGCGGCGGTGGAGCCCGGGCTGGCCGCGGCTTCGGCGGAGGCTCGAACTGCACCTCTGACGAATGGCCCTTAGCCGCGAGTGGCTCTGTGGCTGCGGGGCCCCCCGCCGATCGCCGAGAGCGCGACCTAGACCCCCTCGGATCATGAAGATTCATGACGGGTGTTTTGTTTTCCCCGGTTTCTGCCCCCTGCATGGGGGGCCCTTGCCAGGCCCCGGGGCCATCAAAAAGCGGATCAGGATGAAGAACCGGTCCCCGAGAAGGTGTCCAGACCTCCAGGGAGCCACGTTTCTAGGCCTCCGAGATGGGGTCCGAGTAGATGGGGTCGCAGGATCGCGTCGCATCGCCGATGCATCGCCGATGCATCGCCGTTGCGGCTCGATGTGGAGCCCGATGTCCTTCACGCGGACGTTGCCGATGCATCGCCCACGTCGCCGATGCATCGCCAGTGCATCGCCGATGCATCGCCGATTTGCGACGTTGCGAACGAAATCGAGACGTCGGGGATCTGGAGTGACCCTTCGCCTGAGTGACCTCTTGTGTGCGGGCCCCCCCGCAGATCGGTGAGAGCGCGATGCGGTTAGCAGCAGATTGCCCGCTCGGGCTTGCTCGGCGGGCTGAGGGAGCTGCAGCTGGCGCCCCCCTCAGGCCGAGCCCGAGCTGCGCGCGGCACTCGATATCGAGCGCCGCGCGCAGGCCATCACCGCTGGAGGGCCCGGGTCGGCCTTGGGTCGGCGCCAGTGGCGGTTGCTTCGGCCCATCGGCCGTGGCTGCTTCTGCTTCGCCCGTCACCCCCCGCCTGCCGCCCTTCCCCGAGAGCTGCGCCACAGAGGCCGCTCTTGTCGCCCGGGGCCCCTCCGTTGCGTGCCAGATCCCCAGAGGCGCCGCCGCCTGGTGAGGCGCTGGCGCCGCGGCTGAGGCCAGGATGCGACGGCGGCGGCGCCGACGGCGATGGCCCAGGCTTCACGCACCAGAGGCCCAGGCCTCCAGCGGTGTTGGCAGAAATCAAGACGGAGGTGTTTCGTCGTGTTTGGCGTTTGGGGGCCCCCACCGGGTCCCGAGACCGCCAGAGACGCATCGGGGACGAAAGATCCGTCGCATGGAGGGCAGCGGTCCAGAGCTCCGGGGACCCCGCAGTGAAAAAAAACGGCATCGGATGTCTGGGAGTTGGTACCGTCGGGCATTGAGAGCACGCTCGCCCATACAAGTCGACTAATGAAATCTGCCCTGGCTCCCTCGACATTGAACGAGTGTGCCAATGCAGTTCCCTGTCGCTTGCTCTGATCGGCGTGCGTTTCGCTGGATACATTCGGTTGTTTCTGGACGTCGATTGGCTGTCCCACCTGGGTCCACTCAGAATGCGGTGCTGTGCGATCGTGGAGTGGCCCTGGAAGATGTTACTAAAGGGCGGTTTGCTAAAGGTGTTTGGTTTTGTCAATCCTCGAACGAACCAGGAAGCTGGATACCAGGGAGGATGAGGAGCCAAGCGCCCTAGGGAGAAGGGCGCAACAGTAGGAGTGCATGGAGGCGCCTTCGCTCGTGTGATATGGATTGGCTGCTCATCTGCATCCCCGGCGCACGGGGCCAGGAGAAGGAGGATGCCGATGGTGAGAAAGACGGGGAGAATGAAGACCCAGACGCCCTCGCGTCGTGAAGAAGTCGCTGCGGCGGGCTTTCGCCAGTTTTCAGTCTCCGGGAGCTGTCAAAGATTGCTCAGGGCTCAGGACGGGGATGCAGACCTCTGGAGGTCCACGCTGCGAAAAAAAAAACGGCGTCGGGCCTGGGGTACACATGACGCGGCCAGCCTGGGCGCGAGGTGGATGCACATGAGCGACGCAAAGCAGCGGGGTCGTCTGCGCCGACATTCGCGCGTAAGTTGCCCGCATAACGTCGCGCGTGAGCGCCCTCGTCTCCAATGTGGCGTGCCGCGGTGGCGGCCCGCGTAAGCCGCCGCGTAAGGTCGCTACAGGATGGGCAACCTGTCCGAGGGTACCCTTGCATACTCGCCTCCTCGGCCCATCGTCGGCCGCGCCCCGCTCGAGAAGCTCAGAAACGGCCTTCCAAGGCCCTTTGCATCCTTATCGCGCATCCTTGCGATACGGGCCGACTGTACGGCATCTCGCGCAGGATCCGTTTTGGATCGTCGCTCACGTGTGTCCGCATGTTGTTCCAGAGCTCGGCCCTTCTGCGGCCGTGGGCGCCAGGCTTCCTCTCCGTGTGCTTCCAGCGCGGGGCTTCCAGGACTGCATGCGAGCCTGACCAGGTGCACTTCCGGTCGGCACTGCACGGGCTTCCTAGAGGGGAACCATTAGTGGACACTCCCTTGCTCCCCCAAACTCAAAGTTGGCACGCGCGGGGAAGACTGCTGTCGAAGTGCAGCTCGTTCAACCCACCGCCAACATTGATCATTGGGGGCGGCATGAGTGTTCGCACATTTCTTCCGAGGACTGTAATTGGTGCCCTCGTCGCCGCGGCCGCTTTCGCCTCGAAGTCATGACGAGTCACGACCAACGCGGCGCGATCCCAGACATCCGATGGCTCGATTTGTTGTTGTTCAACACGGGATCCCAAGAAGTCCTGGCCCTCGCCCCAGGGCCGGGGCTTCGCCCCGAGTATATAGTGTTGTTGACGGCCCTTGGGCCCGGCGAGGGCCCCCTTGAGGCCGAAAACGACCAAAAACCTCCATCCCGCCGACCGCCGCGCCACTGGCAGGAAATTTGTGTCACGTTTTTCTGCCACAGCATCTATGACGTGCTCTCTCTCTCTCTCTCTCGCTCTCTCTCTCTCTCTCTCTCTCCCTCTCTCTCTCTCTCTCTCTCTCTCTTTCTTTATATATTTATATAATAACCTATACGACCACCCTGCGGGTGATAAGGAGGTTGGGGGGGGCAGCAATGGGCAACAGTGGTGAATGTTGTTGTGACAATGCCAGTGGAGATAGTTGCGTTGCCGCTCGCTCTTGGGGGCGTTGGTGTCGAGTTGTTTACGTCACCCTTCCCCTGGGAACCTGCCCAACCCCTGCATCATCATCATCATCATCATCATCATCATCATCATCATCAGCATCAGCATCAGCATCATCATCATCAACGTCGTAATCATCATCACAATCATCATCACCATCATGGCTATCATCACCATCAGCATCGCACAATTGATCTCACATTCGGTCTCTTTATCGATACCACAATCGATCTCACAATCGACGTCATCATCATCATCATCATCAGCATCATCATCATCAGCATGATCATCATCATCATCATCAACGACACCAACATCATCATCATCATCATCATCATCATCATCGCCATCATCAACATCATCATCATTACAATCATCATCATCACCATCATCATCATCATCATCATCATCATCATCAGCATCAGCATCATCATCATCATCATCATCATCATCATAATCATCCACGTCATCATCGGGACACCGACGGGACACCGAAGGGACACCAGCGGGACACCGGCGGGACACCGCGCGGCACCGGCCGCCTGGTCAAGGTTCTTTTGCCCCGGCCGCGCCTCAGCCACACGGGACACCAGCGGGACACCGGCGGGACACCGCGGGGCACCGGCCGCCCGGTCAAGGTTTTTTTGCTCCGGCCGCGCCTCAGCCACAGGAGACTTTCTCTCGCCCGCCCACGCAGCTTCGCCTCGCCCGCACGGCACGCACGAACACGAAACCGAAATCGATTTCCCGTTAGGGGGGCTCTCCGTTCCACTTCGATCTCACCCCCCAACCTCCGATGGGTACAGGGCTGGGGGCCTTCTCCTAGGAGCCTCGGGTCGCCATGGTGGCTCCAGACTCTATGGGGACCCTCCCCAGCAGCGACCCCAAAGCCGCTCAAACGGCCGTAAGTGGTGCCACAGAGACACCAGAAGGCTTCATAATGCCCCGCGGGGCTTCCGGGCAACCCTAGATACCTTCAAGACGGGGGATTCGATTTTCGCTCCCAGAGGGCCCCAAGAGGCAAACAACATTGATTACCACGGGTTTGTCCATGTTTTTGGGGTTCTCGATTGTCGAGCTTCCGACGCTCCACGACGGCCCAAGAGGCCTCCAAGGCCGCCCCAAGATGGTCCGAGAGACCCCGAGGACCGCCCCAAGACGGACCAAGAGGGACCCAAGATTGCCTCACGAGGGGCCCGAGACGGCCCAAGGAGCCGCCCCGACGGCCGTAGTGGCGTCACAGTGACACCAGAAGGCTGCGAGATGTCCCGCGGGGCTTCAGGGCAGCACCAGATAGCTTCAAGACGGCCCAGAAGGACTCCACTTTCGCTCCCCAGAGGGCGCCAACAGGCAAATATAATTGATCTACCATGGGTTGTTCAATGTGTTTGGGATTCTTGACTCTCGAGCTTCCGACGCTCCACGGAGTCCCAAGAGGCATTCAAGACCGCCCCAAGACGGCCCAAGGGACCCCCAAGACCGCCCCCAGACGGTCCAAGAGAGCCCCAAGACGGCTCCAGAAGGGGCCCATGACGGCCCAAGAAGAGCCGGCCAGACGGCCTTAGTGGCGTCGCAGTGACACAAGAAGGAAGCGAGATGTCCCGCGGGGCTTCAGGGCATCCCCAGGCAGCTTCAGGATGGCCCAAGAGGACTCCACTTTCGCTCCCCAGAGGGCCCCAAGATGCAAAGACCATTGATTTACAATTGGTTGCTCCATGTTTTTGGGGTTCTCGACTTTCGAGCTTCCGACGCTCCACGACGTTCCCAGTGGCCTCACGACCGCCCAAGACGGCCCCAGAGACCCCCAAGACCGCCCCAAGACGGGCCAAGAGGGTCCCAAGACGGCCCCAAGAGGGGCCCAAGAGGGCCCCAGGACGGCCCCAGGAGGAGCCCACGAGCAGGAGACCGAAAGGACAATTCGACCCTTCCGTCCCAAGATGCCCCCAGACGGCACAAGAGGGCTCTCCGAGCACACCCCAGTGGGCCCTAAGAGGCAACAATCATTGATTTTCCAAAGTTTTTCAATGCCTTCGGGCCGCTCGACTTTCCCAGCTTCCGACGCTCTTAGACGTCCCTATAGGCCCCCAAGACCGTCCCAAGACGGACCGCCAAGAGGCTCCCAAGACGCCGTAAGACGGTCACAAGAGGGGCCCGAGCGCAGGAGCCCGAAGCGATACTTCGAGTCTGCCGTCCCAGATGCCCCCCCAGGCGTCCTCACGACTCGAGCAGCGCTCCCCAGATGGCCGCAAGAGGCAAAAACAAATGATGTTCCATTGGCTGTAATGTGGTTTCGAATGTTTAGACTTTTCGAGCTTCCGGCGCTTCTCGACGTCTCAAGCGGCCCCTAAGACAGCCCCGAGATGGCCCAAGAGGCCCCAACGAGGGTCCCAAGACGGCACAAGAGAATCCCTAGGCTCGGGGGGCGCTGTGGGAGCTGCCTTGGCGCCCCTTTGGGGGCTCTTTGGAGGCCCTGTTTGAACCTGTCGCGGTGGCTTTTGTGGGCCTCTCCGTGGGCCTGTCGTCCAGGTCCATCGGGGATCGTCGTTGGAAGCCTTGTGGTCTTTTTCGGTTCCCCCGAGGGCGTCCTGAGCCGTCTTGAAGCCCTCCTGGGAGTTTTTTGCAGGCCCGGGACAGCGGTACCAGGGATGGCGGAGGATGGCCCACATCCGCGGGGGGGCAGGGCGCTCGGGAAGGAGAAGGAGAGACGAAACCAGTGGACCACAAAAAGCCGAATGTAGGAGTCACGGAATGACGAAAGCGGCGAATCAAGAGGAACAGAAAGGGAGAACCAAGGGAAGACGGGAGGGAGAAGCAGCAGCTGAATAAGGCTAGCTAACGCCCCGCAATTACGGATAAGAGTGAGGGCGCGGGCGCGGGCGACGCGGGCGTCGAGCCGGCGGACCTCGTGGCCCTCACCTTCCTTTTCGATGGCGCCCTCCTCCTCCTCCTCCTCGT